CCTCTGTCCTTCATTCCCTTGGACTGCTTTGATGAGAAGGCTTTCCAGTTGAAGCCTGATGTCCATGAGAAGCATTCCAGCCAGGAGTTTGGGCTGACTGTGGGCATCCACCTGAACAAACCACTGCCCCCTCACAGCCAGATGAAGGCTGGATGCTGATCATTTGTCACAACTTTTATGATGAATAAAAGCTGCTTTATAAAAGTATAATTTTTTATTTTTTCCTCTTAAGAGAAGTGAACAAAGGTGTCTTTTAAAATAAACTGACCTGAACACATGTTCATTACCTTAGCTGTCCATGAGGCACACAACCTGTCTACTTTCAAGGGTAGGCTTAAAACCTGTGATAAAGCTTATAGAGTAGCTCAGGATAACCTGAGCCAATTTCTATGGTTATGCTGCTATAGGCTTAGATTGCTGGAGGATGTATAGACCTTATCGTTCAGCTTCATTTATCTCTAGTCTCCCACCATGCAGAATTTGTTAGTTGAATCTCTGAAGCTTTTTCTCGTAACTTCATCTGGTCTGTTCCTGTTTGGGATGCCATCAACACCTTGTTTATGCTTGGCCTGTCTTTCAGTGTGTTACTGCCTGGCTTGTTCTCTTATCCTGACATGGGAGCTGGCTGGGAGCTTGTCTGCCTGGCTGTATTTCCTGGACAGAGCTGTTTGACTGTTTCCTTTTGTGAATGTTTCAGCCTGTTTTTGTCTGCTTGAACCCCAGTCGGCCCTGCAGATGGGTGTCTGGTGTGCTGGAGGTTTCTTAATAGTTTTTCCTCTCCCCTGTTGCTACAAGCATGGTTGGTGTGAGGGATTGCCTTGAGTCTATACAATCAAGTGGTTTTCCTTAAACTTTTCAATTTGAGTCATCTGGATTGTAAAGTGCCTTGATGTGCTGTAAATTAGCACAATATGAATAAACTGAACTGTTTGCCCAACTATTAAGCTAATACATGTCCAGTCATTGATACTGGTGTCTATGGTAGTAAATGTACTAGGCTGCTTTAAATATTTTAAACTTGTTCATACACGTTCATTCTTTGATCACTCGCACTGAACAGGAACTAGGATTTATAAAGCATAGTGTGGAGCAGGCTAGCGGCACAAAATTATTCACATTTTGTGAAACAAAGTTGAGGCTTTAAACCACGATATGCAGATTATCTTGATTCGATGCTATCTCGGTTTAGTGATATCCTGCCCAACATGGAAGTTATCTTGATAAAACCCTGGCTAAATTTGCCTCGCCTCATTAAAGAATTTAGTCAACTGACATGAAACTTTGTCAATTACATTTTTCTATAGGGCCAATTAAGATGTCATCTCAAAGCACTTAAATGAGATGAATCGCACAGTCAAATTGATTCAAAGTTTTCCATTTAAAGAAAACCTGAATGCATTGACTCATCGACTTAACAATTCCTCCCACTAAACATGCATGTAGCGACAGTTGAGAGTACAGCTCCCTGTTTAGACCTGGGAATCAAAATTTCAAAAGCTAGCTGATAGCCCAACAGCTTTGCTTTCACAAGCAGACCAACATGGAAAGGGAGATGAGAAAAGGGGGTTAAGAACTAAGGGTAGAGAGTCAGGAAAGTGCATAAAGAGACAAAAATTATGTACAGTAAGTTTGAGAAGTCAGCTTCCATACCTCTATGAGACAAGAGGGACAGAAAACAGACAGCAAAATAGTAAGAAGACAACCGACGAGAAAAAAAAAAAAAAAAAAGCTTCAAGAGGAGCAGGTATTTTTTTCATGTGTCTTGGAGTCAGAAACTATGGTGATTCAACAATATTACATCAGAGTGGTCTATATCTGTAGCTGTAGCTTAGTATTGAGTGTGTATCATCTTTATACATGAGTATGCATGAGCATACTCATATATAAAGGATTCACAAAGCTTTGGAAGGAAAGTATGCTTAATAGCAGGTATGGGCGTCACCAAACTAGCCGTACAGGGCCCAGCACAGAAAAGAAGCCGATGCAAGCCCCATTGTCCAGATCACCCCAGATCACTGGGACACCAGGAGGGCTGATACAGGAATGGCCACACCCACCAGAGAAGGGCAGATGAGAGCACCCGGAGCCTGACCACCGAGCGACCAAACCCCAAAGGGGCCTGATTATTGGAGACCACAGTAACGGTGTCATATTGGGCCCCGGCAGCGAGCCCATGGGGTCCACCGGCGGCCAGTCATACACAAGGTAGATTTGGATGGGATCTCCAAGGTCAGGGTGAACACCATTTCCAAGTGGGGACCCCTGCCTGGCTCAGCAGCCACCAGGAATGAGACGCACCCAATCAAGTACCCAGCCCTGCACCTAGAGAACCGTCAGATTGCCAGCAGACACAGGATCCGGCCACTGGTGGTTTTTGAATCAGATTTTGGTGGGTAATGTTTGGTTTATTGAAAGGTTTTATCTGTCCCTGTGCAAATGGGTTTAGCTGACATATAAGCTCAGATCCCGATATCTCCGCAGTGTGGGGACTATAAATCTGATATCTGCGTCTACGGTACTGGTGCTAAAGCTCCTCAGAAACGTAATTAGCATACAGAACAGCAGTGAGAAGTTTGGCTTCATCGTACAAATAAATATTTTTTAAAAATTCATACATTTTGATCTCTGGTTAATTTCTCTCACAGTGAACATGAACCTACGATGACAATTTCCCACCCCTCCATGACTTCTAAGTGGGAGAACTTGCAAAATAACAGGGTGTTGAAAAACTTAACTTCCTCACTGTACTGTATATATACTGTTACCAAATCTTTGAGGCTGCAAATGCAGCCATCACATACTATTAAACTCACAATCAGGTACTTTCAAACTCTGTTACAATACCACTAAATTATCTACTATATTGTATTAAACATGTATTTTTTTTTATCTAAGTAGATTGTGGTAGTAAATGACAAAACTAGCTTTTACGAGCTGTTTTTGGATTGCTTGGACAATATACTATTATATTAGTATGTTCAGGCGTGGGAAGTATTCATTTACATTTACTCAGTGACAATAACTTGAGTAATTTTTTGAAAAAAAAAAACAAACAAAAACTTTTAGGAGTAGTTTTACAGCATAGTACTTTTTACTTTTACTTGAGTAAAATTTCTCTCTACTCCGTCATTTGTAAGTAACTTCACTTAGTGAAAACAAGCTTGTTTTAATCAAATATGCAACACTGAGAGACATACTTTCATCTTTTTTGTACTCAAGACTTATCAGTTAATATTATTATTCCATTTGTTGAGTCTGCCATGTCATTTGGAGGTCGAGTAACAAAAATACAGTAAACAGTACATTTCAATTTAACATATTCTTACATATTGTAAAATTGATTTTCTAGGCTTTATAGCTCAAAAATATTAAATCAGTTGTCATGATCATTTGTATTCAGTAGATTACTTAAGCAGTACTTGAGTATACTTTTTGACAACTACTTTTTACTCTTACTTGAGTAATTTATTTAAAGGCTACTTATACTTGAGTAAAAATAAGATGAAGTAGTGCTTCTTTTACTTAAGTACCATACCCACTTCTGAGTATATTGGTGTATTTTAGATAATTTATTGGTATATGTAAGAGAGTTTAATAGTACATGAGAGAGAGTTTCATAGTACGTGTGAAGTAGTTTGGTACTATACATAATAGAGTTTAATAGTATATGTAAAACAGTTTGACAGTACATGTAAAAGAGTTTGATGGTACATGTAAAAAAATGTTAACACAGTTAATTAGTATATATAATAAAGTTTGATAGTACATATCATGTACTATTAAACTGTGTTTGTTTAAGAGTATGGTTGTCTTTATGCAAGGGAATAGTTGTGACTGTGAGAGTTTATTCAGGCAAGTAAAAGAAATTGAACATTTTGTCTCCCGGGCTTCTCATACTACAGTGAATGGAATGGGAAGTAAAAGCAAGATGAAAATAAAGAAAGCAAAACATAAAAATAAACTTCCGCTCCCACCCTACTTCATAGCCAAATCTAAATTTAGGACTGCATCAGAATCTGCCTAAGCCTGTTGTAAAAAAAAAAAAAAAGTGAATACAATAAATTAAAGCATTATTTTTGTGGCACATTAAAAATAAAGTAACAAGTTGAATAATATTTTGTATAATTCAGAAAAATACCGATTAAAGGTTAGATTCTTACATTGACATCCATATAAAGTAAAAAATAATAAATGTCTTTTTTTGCATTCACTTTAACATCATGGTTTTCATCAGCAATTGAAAAAATAACAAAAACAGCCCCTGACATCATTCGACCCTTTTAAGAACATATGTATCTGTCTGTGGGAGTTTAACATGTTTTTGAACATAAACTGTTCATCAGAGTTAGACTCTTATCTGTATTTATTTTGCTCTCTTGCAGTTCGTCATAGTCCTCCCAGCAGTGCTACACAAAAAGCCATTTTGTTGGTTCAATTGTAGGAAGTTGGTATGGTTTTAAAAGACAAGGGAAAAAAATCCTTTTGAAAACATGTTTGAACAAGTGAGGTTTATGAAATGTGTTTTGGGAGTTTTGTGGCGCCTGTTTAGTTAAAACAGTTGATTAAAACATCAGAATTAGCACACCTGTAACTATATTTTATCCACTTTTTAAAATAAGTTAGACTATAGCTTTCTACTTTCAGGTTTAGAGATTAGACATATTTTTTATAATCATCAAAAATGCAAAAAATAAGGAAACATTAATTTTTAAAGATATTAAATATAGCTATTGCTCCCCTCTCCAAATAATGAAGTTGAAGTTTGTTACTAGTACAATCTTCTTAGTAAATCCTGAAAGGCCAAATCATGATATCGTGGCTATGTATGCTTATGAAAGAGCCCCATTAAGAGACACCTGGAACTGTATTTTAAGAAAATGTCACAGCAATGCTTTATCCTTAGGAAAAACTGTGGAAATATATAGGAAGAGAATTGTGGACCTTCATGCTCCTGGTTTATCCATGGTTCATGCTTTTTGCAGATGCCCATACCTGTATGTGGCAGCCTCTTCTATTCAAACATTTTCAGCAAGCTTTGACGACATGGGAATATCAATCTCCCACACTGTTCAAAAAGGAGGCAGACTCTTTTTTTCCCAGAGGTGAATATTTCTTGGTTTGAAATCTGCAACTACATATTAGAATAGTGGAAAAAGACCACAATAGGAGACTTGTCAAAGCTGATACCTTTTATAAACCACAAAATATAGCTCTGTACCAACATGAGCTGAAAGGTCAAGACACACTCAGAAAATCTTTACTCCAAATGGGTCACATAGAAGATGGAGGTGTTTGACCACAACATACATAGTTTCTATTGGGGAATAACAGTTGGAAGTTTACAAGCAAAACAACACAATCCCAACAGTGTAGTATGGGGGTAACAGAATCCCACTTTATGTGTGTCAGCAATCAGAATCTACTGCGTACAACTCAACAGATTACATTGTTTGAACAAAAGTTTTGAAGATTTAAGAAATATATCAAGACATCAGATATAAAGTGCGAATTGGCTACAAATTGGCTCAAGGACAATATAATTTTTTCCAAATGAGCATGGTACTGTACTGATCTCAGGCCCATCAAATATGTTTTGTCAAAGCGAAAAGGGTTGCATTTGAGCAAAGTTGCCCACAGCCTGAGTCCAAACTTGCACAGATTCACAGTTTGGCCACACTATGGCACTGTAAGCCACATTTTACCACTTCCATCCCCACTGTTAGAAATAAAAAAAGTAAAAGCAGAGTGCCAGAATAGTGTTGCAATTATATAGATTTTAATGTAAAAGAGAATAAACATAAGAAAGATATTTAGGTAAAATGCATAATAGACTAAAAGATCCAAAAGTCTGCAGCTGATGGGTTTAAATGAGCATAAAACATGCTGTGAGTCTCATTCACATAAGCTTTTCATGTCAAAATGTAAAGTCTACAGAGGAGTAATGCAACATTTCCTGTTTTAATACAGTCCAGCTTCCTATTTGATGCATTTCTATCAAAGGCTTACTGAAATGAGTCTATGCAGTCAATTATTTTTGACAACATAACTTGATTTAGCAGTTGTTAATTGAACCCTTCCTCTCCAAAGAAGCAACTTGGATGGAATATCTGTGTTTGATGCCAGATGTGTCCCAGTTCTATCTCTTTGAAGCCCATTGCTAAAGCTGTTTTTTATAACAAGGCCTCGTTGGCGTGTGTACCTGACCGCAGGCAACTGTAAAGAAAAGTAGTGTAAAGGAAAACCAACTGTACAGTGAGAGGATTACCAGGCCACACTGGCTTCATGTGGGTGAAAGATACCAAGACTGGCATGTAAATTTAAAACATCTTGTAGACAGAAAAACAAATACAGACATGCGTGCTATCAAATATCCTGGATTCACATGTGGGCTCTGTTGCTTTACTTTTAGGCTTAAAGAAGAAGAAAATAAACACTGTCTTAAAGTAGATCATGAGTAAAGGGGCTGTTTCAAAACTATATTTGATAAAAACAATTGACCTACATTCAGTGATATGTTAAATAAAAAGATTTTTTTAAATTGGAAACAAATCAGGAAGGGGAGGGATTAATTCTTTTACCTGATTGGTGAAATAATGATTCCATGATTGCTGACCCTGATTGTTAATTGGAACCATCTGAGACAGCTGCCAGAAGAAAACATGTATAAAAGCAATATTTGGAGCTTTGAAGTTTGAATGATCTACATGTTTTATTTTCTTAAACTGCTTATTATTTAGAAACCAGCTTTAAAAAAAAAATTAATAAATGGGTAAGTATTTTATCTTGGATGTATTTCAAACTCTAACATTCACTATGTTAAGTCTTTACAGCTGATGGTTTGAACAGTTTTTTTATTTTTTTCTAATAATTTTGAAATACTTTCAGGACTAAATTCAAGGTTTGTTCTCTTTTTCCCTGTTGCGAAAGCAAAGAAAGTGCTGATCGTGTTTGCTCACCAGAGCTCTGGATCATTCAATGCTGCAGCTAAAAATGCTGCTGTAGAGGTCCTGACTGCTCAGGGCTGCACAGTGGAAGTCTCTGAACTGTATGCCATGAGTTTTAAAGCCACTGCTACAGCTGAGGACATCAAAGGTATGACTGGAAATTGTCTGATCAGATATGTCAATTACCTAATGTTTAAAAATTCCTGAACAGGGGATGTGAAGAATGCTGAGAACTTCTGTTATTTGGAGGAGTCTAAACTTGCATGGGAGCAGGGAAAACTGTCAGATGACATCACAAAGGAGCAAACTAAGCTCACTGAGGCAGACCTCATCATTTTTCAGGTACTGCTGGATATCTGTAATATGGTGATAAATGCTCCATGTTGTATTAACTGTATTCTTTCCTTCAGTTCCCCATGTACTGGTTCAGTGTTCCTGCCATCCTGAAAGGCTGGATTGACCGTGTTCTCACCAATGGCTTTGCCTTCTCTAAAGAGAAGCGCTACAGCCAGGGAATCTTCAAGGTGAGACTTTAATAAGGAAGGTTTTGGTGGCATAATCTTGTTTAACCTGTTCCTGCTTTTAGGACAAGAAAGCCATGCTGTCCTTCACCACTGGATCTCTAGAATCCATGTTCAGCCCAACTGGCATTAACGGAGACATGAATGTTACACTGTGGCCACTGCAGGTAATGTAGTGTTTTGCTGCAATAAACCTACATCTAGTGGAAATGTTAAATCAACTTCATTCCTCTGCAGAACGGCATCCTGCACTACTGTGGCTTCCAGGTTCTGGCCCCTCAGATCTTCTGGGCTCCTTCTTCTGCTGCAGCTGAAGATCGCAAGAGCATGCTGGATAGCTGGCGCACACGACTGCAAGGACTTCTGGAGGAAAAGCCTCTGTCCTTCATTCCCTTGGACTGCTTTGATGAGAAGGCTTTCCAGTTGAAGCCCGATGTCCATGAGAAGCATTCCAGCCAGGAGTTTGGGCTGACTGTGGGCATCCACCTGAACAAACCACTGCCCCCTCACAGCCAGATGAAGGCTGGATGCTGATCTGTCATTCCACTTGTATAATAAAGGCTGGTTTATGATTGAAGGTGTCTTTGAAAGCTTCTTGGTGTTTGACATTCATGCTTCAGAATTACAAGGATTTTAGGAATTTTTCATTTTTTTTTTTTTTTGAATGATTCAGATTTTTCCCTCTGGGTTGAATTCAGATGATTTGAATTCAAATCATTATGTCAAACCTTCCCAATAGACATCTCGGGGTAAATGTAAGAAAACATGGCCTATCTTGCACAAAGTGGTTATGTTGGGGATTGTACCTTTAAACATGACGATGGACTTTAAAAAGATGAAAAATGGATTTGGATCTTAAAATTCAGGGAGATTGGGGGGGGGGGTTCTACCCTGCCTTGCTGGCAGAAATGAATATGCTTGGAGCTCTACAAAGAAATGACAGACATGGCTGAACACTTTTCCCATAGAAGCAGCTTTTGTTTGGGTAAGGAGGAAATGAAGGGGGGGTAGGTACACTTAAGGAAATGGCCTTGTGCTCTCTTGTCGAGACTACAGCTTGACATGCAGGAATTGGATAGTCTGCCTGCTTCTAAGTTTGCATAAGGTTGTGTTTGTGCTAAACTTCCAGGTAGCGCAATCACCTGTCTTTGCAGCCAAAACCTTTCCAGACCTTGCCCTTGAAACTTTACTAAACACTTGGCAGATATTTGACTTTGTTTTGGATTGTGCACACACTATCTACCCACCACGCATGAAAACCTTTTCATTTGCATATCCCATTTTGTAAGCCCTAGTGTTGAACAAAATGTGCAAGTTAAATGTTTTGGGTATAAAGTTTATTCCATGCAATCTGATTTGTAGTGCTTTCCTGTTCTCCCATTGTCCACAAAAGTTTTTCCCACAGTGACCATGGAAGGCCTTTTTTTGGCTGGCTCTGTGGAGGGAAGTGGGTACCGTCTCTAATGATGCATGGAAAAGTCTCCGGAAAAGCATATCTACTTCAACAGCTCAAGTGCTTTTTAAGTAAATAAAAATATTTGGGTCAAATTATATTTATAAGTTTCTGAAACGATTTACCCTGATGATAAAATTTCCATTTGCCAAACATAAAGAACCTTAGATATGGACTTATTAAACCTTTTTAAATTTGACAGATTTGCTTCCCCTTATTTGACTTGTGTGTTTTTACCCAGCAATACATAGGTGCCTGTGTTAACACCAGATGTCATAGGGTTAATAACAGGCAGACTATTAAACACCATGACCCACAACAGGCAGCTGGGAGAGAAAAGCTGAGGGGTGGAGAAATGAGGTAAAGTGTATGATTTATCCTCTCACTCTTTCAAAGGTTACATAAAAATCCAATCACTTATACCTTCTGAAGTACACCCTGTTAAACCTTGCCTAAGTGTATGAATGAGTGAATGCTACAGTAGTTTGCAATAACATGAGGAACCTGAGGCCCAGCTCCTCTAAGCAATATTAAGATTGGCAGCAGGAAAGGTTTGTAACGAGCAACTGCCAGTGTTAACTTTCATGGCCTCCAACAGCCTCCTTCTCCTTCACATCATAAAGTGTCCATTGTATGTCCTCCATCATTATGGCACAAAGGGAATTCACTATGACATCTCAGAATGGTCACTGCCGACCCTTCACAGCAGCCTCTTAAAGTAAACTTTTTTTCCTTGCACCTTTTTGGTAGGTTTCAATACGTATAAAAGAAAAAAACAACTTCAAATTTTCTATCTGACAAATATAAATTTTTAATGTATTTAGTAAAACTGATTTACTCAAAGGAGTAAGAGAATGCAGGTTTTCATTTTTTTTTTTTTTTTACATGATGGGAAATATGACTAAAAAGAACCTAAAAAAGTATTCACACCTCTTGAACTTCTAAAACTCAAATATGTTTCTGATAGATGTATGCATTAGAATACAAAGCTTTGCACTATTAAATTTCATGGGAAATTCATTTTTGCATGATAAAAATCTGAGAAGTTTGGCATCAGCATTTAGCCTAATCCAATAGCTTATGGCTGACTTCCTTGTCCATGCTGAAGAAAGGCTTGCAGCATGCTTCTGCCACCACCATGTTATCAAGAGGGGATGGTATGATTAGTAGTATGTGCTGTATTTCCTTCCCAGCCACATTTGGAGTATTTCATGTGGCAGATACATTTCAGTGAGGTCTGAATAGAACACCTTCTTCCAAGTAATCTTTGTCCACTTCATGGGTTGTGGCGAACTTCAAATCTTTGATACTTTCTTCTTAACACAGTTTTTTTTTATCATGCAGCATTATTAGATAAAGTTTCATCATATGAATAACTAATAGGTACTCTTGGCCAACCCTGACTTTTGGATCTCTGCAATGACTTCATTAGCTCTCTGGTTAACACTTTCCTTTCCTGAGCTGTTAGTTTACATGTTTGCAGTTGTCATTTTCTTCCTAGAACAGAATATAATCAAAAAGATAGAATAGAACAGAATAGAATTATATTGATCTCAAAATGGAGAAATCCACTTCTGACATTGGCTCTTATGAACAACAGGAGGTGCACAAAGGAGGAAGTATATCCAGTGCACCAGATATATACAGTGGATGGTAAAATATAAAGGAGATATTTAAGGTGAATTATTTATACAGTACCTCTATTAGAGTAAAGTGGTTGCAGGTAAAGTGTGGTTTCTGGTTTGTAAAATAAATAAATAGTATAAGTTATTGCAGTGCTATTATACCAGGTTATTGTGGAGTGGCATTGTAAAGTCTGATATCATTCCTGATGCCTAACGATAGATTTATAAGTATTTGGTGCTGGATTGTATGAAGTTATGCCAGACTATAAGGGGCTTTATAGAGGTTAAAATATCTATTTTTATATCTCTATTGAATTTCTTCTCTTTAATAAAAAGTCCTGTAAATGTATTGTTAAAGTTTGTGGTTGTTGTGTGAAACAAATGTGAAAAATGTTCAAGCGGTATGAGTCCATTTTCAAAGCACTGCATGAATATAAAGTTCAAACCCCCTGTATGGATGTTTGTGTTTCCTCACAACCTGTTGCTAAAGTTCTCAGCTTGAACAGCTGTTTGGAAGAATTATAAAAATTTGTTGACTACAACAGCTGTGGAGGAACAAAACCACAAATAAGGGCCAAGAGGCTGGAGCAAAGTCCAGAAAAGGAGGGAAAACAGGGGTGAACAAATAATAACAAAGACCTCCTTCCTCCTCGTAAGCATTTTTGCAGGATATGTCTTTCATCCCGTGTTCAATGTATCCTCATCTCCGTCCTTCTTTTGTGTTTGTCATCTCCTCTCACCGATGTGAAAATCCACAGGAAACATTAACCACAATGAGAATTTTCACACATCTTTTGCGCTGTGGGGATTCCAATGCTTTTTGGAGATTATGTCTCGTGGGACTGGACTTTAGTTTACACCATGCATATACACTTTCGCAAATTGCTACTGACAGAGACTTTACTAAGCTAGGCTGGTAGTGATTGGGCCGGGGCAAGCCTGCAATTTGCAACCTGCTGTCATTGCTTTGATGAATAGATGGGGATCACGCTATTGGATTCCACTCGTATGCTGATGTATGGAGCAGCCTGGTACTGGGAAGCTGGCGTGAGGCACCAAAGCTGTTTTATATTTACAAGGGTTGAATGAGGCTGGGGAGGGGTTCTGGCGGTTTGAGGTGTCAGAATGATGGGGTTAAGACTCCAGTCAGCCATTACCCTCCTCTTTACATCCTTCTACATACTGTAATGAAAAGCAGATCTCTGCTATATCTGCCACAGGATGCAACAGGAATAATGTGCATTAGCAGATCTTCCCTGACATAAAGTTTTCTGTTACTCCTTATTCTTTGTCTCTTGCTCCATGTTTCAAACTGTCACACATCAATACAAACAGTAAAAGAAAACAAATGGTCTCGTGGGATTTTGTCTGTACAATAGCAATAACCAACCTCACTAGTACAGATGAGATATAAGTTCTAAAAGTCGTGGGTGAGACGGCACCCCTCACTCTAAGCTTCAGGCAAACAAATCTCAACTCCAGATGCTGCCTAGGATGCCACAGCCTGACTGTAATTCTCCCTGCAGTCTTGCATGTGCATATAAGTTTGCAGAAAGTTGAATAAGAAACACCTGGGATGAAGAATAGAGCTTGAGGTTATTTGCCTTTGCTTCTTCCTCTATGTCTTTTTTCTTCAAGTTAATAATTTAGAACCACAGGGGAAACTTTAACAGAATGTAATGTTCACAAAGTTTTCTAATTTAGATCTGAGTCATACTTTATTTATCTGCCCCGTTTATCTGCAATATTTATTGCCTCATTTTGTTTAAGAACTACAGAGTTCTGTTTAAAGCCAGTAAAGTTTAGACTGTTTTGTTTACTCCTAAAGCCTACACTCCTAAAACAAGAGTGAGATATCAGAAGGTCAAAGCTGTTCTGTTGGCATACCTTAAAAATTAAAGGGAATAGATTGTTTATACAACTTGTCCTTTAGACTTGTGTTCAGGTTTGCAGTGCATGGTAGTTATATTAATTTTCAAATCTAGATTGGGGAAATGTACAAAGTTTAAGGTTGATAAAGAGTGATAGCATCAGATTTAGAAAACCAGACTCAGACATCAAAACAACACAACTGCAACCTGAGACATAAATGCGAATGGCAAAGTCTGCAGCTTGAATTTGATTTCATGTTTTTTTTGTCAAAGTTCTCTCTAGTTAAAGCTACAAAGTATTATTTAATGTCAAAGTACCACATCAAAGGTCACCAAATATATTAAACTTTATTTTTACCTGCTAAATGCCAGCATAATGAGAAAATAATATTTTGGATTGTGAGGTGTTGTCAGGTATTGCCTTGTTTATTTCCTTTTTTTATTTATTTTAATAAATTGCCATGCAGACAGCAAACCAGTTGTGCTAAAAGATGCATACCAACTTCTGTCATGCTAAAGATACTCATTAGATATAAAGAGAAGGGTAATTATTCATTTTCCTACCTGGGAAAATGAAAACCCACTAACACCTAGGGTTACTTTAA